CACCCATATCTAATCAACGCGTTGCTCAAGGACGAACTAGGCTTCCAAGGCTTTGTCCAGTCCGACTGGCTTGCTCACATGTCCGGCGTGGCCTCCGCCATTGCTGGCTTGGATATGGACATGCCAGGAGACACTCAGATTCCATTGTTTGGCTTTTCATACTGGATGTACGACCTCACCAGATCGGCTCTCAACGGCTCCGTACCCATGGACCGGTTGAACGACATGGCTACACGTGTTGTGGCCTCATGGTACAAAATGGGCCAGGATAACGGCTTCCCGGAGACAAACTTCCACACATTGACAAGAGATAAGGTAGGCATGCTATATCCAGCTGCCTTCCCCGACACACCAAGTGTCGTGGTTAACAAATTCGTTCCTGTCCAAGCCGATCATAATGAGATTGCTCGTCAAGTAGCACAGGATGCCATTACGCTTCTGAAGAACAATGGCAACTTGTTGCCACTGAGGACGTCTCAGTCACTTAAAATATTTGGCACGGGAGCTCAAACGAACCCAGATGGCCCTAATGCTTGCGCCGATCGAAAATGCAACAAGGGTACTCTTGGGCAAGGATGGGGATCTGGCACGGTGGATTACATGTACCTTGACGACCCGATTTCTGCTATCAAGGCCAGGGCCCAGGACGTCCAGTTCTACGACACGGACTCTTTCCCAGAACTAATTGACCAACCAAAGGATACAGACGTTGCCCTTGTCTTCATTACCTCCGACTCAGGAGAGAACACTTATACTGTTGAAAACAACCACGGCGACCGAGATGCGTCCGGTCTGTACGCATGGCACCACGGGGATCAGCTGGTCAAAGACGTCGCCTCAAAATACAAGAATGTCATTGTGGTAGCACACACAGTTGGCCCCATGATACTCGAGAAGTGGATTGACCTACCTGCAGTGAAGTCAGTGTTGGTTGCTCACCTGCCAGGCCAAGAGGCTGGACGATCTCTTGCTGACGTCTTGTTCGGCGAGGTCTCGCCAAATGGCCATCTTCCTTACTCTATTACAAAAAAGGAGGAAGACCTACCGGAGAGCGTAACGAAATTGATAAGTGCCCCTCATATCAACCAACAACAAGACACATACACAGAAGGCTTGTATATTGACTATCGATGGCTGAACAAAAACAACATCAAGCCTCGATATGCATTCGGGCATGGTCTGAGCTACACCGATTTCACGTATTCGAATGCAACAATCACCAAAGTTGGCCACATGAGAAAGACTCCGCCCACCAGGTTACCCAAGGAGGGCATCCTTGACTACACTCAGGCTATACCCGAGCCTAGCGAAGCCGTAATGCCCGACGGCTTTCACAAGCACTGGCGATACATTTACTCGTGGCTCCAAGCCTCCGAAGCGAAAGATGCTGCTGCAGACGTGAAAAAGAAGTATCCATATCCCAGCGGATACTCAACAGTCCAGAAGCCTGGTCCTCGCGCTGGCGGTGGGCAGGGGGCAATCCCGCATTGTGGGATGTTGCTTACAAGCTGTCTGTGGTGGTCACGAACGCTGGATTAGATTTCTCTGGAAAGGCTTCCGTACAGGCGTATCTGCAATTTCCCAAGAACATCACATACGAAACGCCCATCATCCAACTGCGAGATTTTGAAAAGACAGAGGTGCTTAGGCCTGGCGAAAGTACCACTGTAGAGTTGCAGTTGACTAGGAAGGATCTGAGTGTGTGGGACGTCGTGCTACAGGATTGGGTTATTCCCGTTGTTGATGGGGGATATACTGTGTGGTTGGGAGGCGCCAGTGATGATTTGAGGGTTTCATGTCATGTTGATGGGATGAAATGCAAAAGCGCAGCAACGGGTGAATGATGAATAACGAGGATAGTTAGAGAAGACAGCGTGTACTAAACAAGAACAGCTGCTCAAAGTCACTCTCATTAACCCTTTGCTTTCAGGTAGTCAAAAGGGAACAAAAAAAGAGAAAGAAAAAAAATAATCTCCCAAGGTGGTAGTACATCGCTGGTCGTCTAATTTGCCACGGATGCTCTTCTACAAACATGTAATGCCCACTCCATGGCTCACCCATAATGTACATACGTGCGTTTGAAGCAATGCGCCCTCAGCATCTGATAGCCGCACATCTGGAGACCACGCACAAACCGGCCGCCCAGTCTATCAGTTGCTCTGCCCGTGAGGCACAACATTCGGCTTTTTGCTCTCACTGGGCCAATTGCTTTCTCCCCTTTAGTCGCCTCCTTTGCAGAATTTTTCTTCCCGTCCTGCTTCGCATTCTATACAAAAACCCATGTCTGCGCTTCTGAACTAATCTCGTGTGTCCGTTCATTGTGTTTCGAGGGCCGAACCGAAGCTGCAGTCCACTCAGGGACGGATGCGACGACACAGCACTTGTCGGGAGGGCATCGACAATTTCGCCGGCGAAGGAGGTATTTACATCAGGCTTGAAGAATGTGAGTGCCGGGCGGAGGGAGGGGGTGAGCGATGGCCGGAGGGGAGAAAGAGTTGTGAAAGTTCTGTCGCAGTTAGTTTATCGATCGAGTTTTGCAATCCCGCTCATATTGTGCAAACCTAGGAGTAGATGATATTGATTTGCTGAGAATAGGTCGTATGAGGCGTGTGATGGACTGCATATTGCCGAGGGCGCGGATAGTTGCTTTGACAGACTAGGAGACGTGATGATTTGGTGATGTATGGAGAAGGTCGAGGTGGTTTTGATGGGAAGTTTTGTGGAGCTCTGATTGGTGAAATTTCAAAGTGGGTCTTCTGCCAGTAGGACGTCAGAGGACGTCTTCATGGGATGGATTGTGTAGAGGATGCATTAACACGACAGTTTTTATTCAACCTAAGTTCTGTAACTGAATGATAGTCAAAAAATAAGATTATGACAGAAGTACTAATTCCGTGGGCCGATTAATGGGATACAAGGTATCTCCACTTGGGCAGCATGATAGGAGAACCTCCAGAGTATTAGAAACTTGAATCAGCATTTTCCACAAGTGCTCCCGTTGTCAATTGCGAAGACAATTTCATGTCGTTTAGTGATCGGTCGCCGGGTCACCTCCAAGGTCCAAGTTGTCCTTACAATTTGCATAGCCTACCATTCCGTCGCCATCCCAAGTACCTAGTATCTTAAATGCATTGGCCTTCACAAGAACAAACCATTGTCGGCGTGCACGTACTCGACGGTAAGCAAGATGAATTATTCCCCACGGTGCATGGAGTGACTGTCAGTACGGGTAACGGGGTAGGAGGTAGCGATGCAGACTCCTCCACAGTGATGACCCTTGGAGCAAGGCATGGTTGGTGTACAAGCGCTTCCCTTCGAGCACTGGTGCTTCCCACCAACAGCACAGTGGTGTAGAGAGGAGGTAGACGGCGGTGTCGTCGCAATACATTGTCCACCCCAGGGTTTGTCGGGTGTAGAATACATTGTCGGGGTACAGGTGCTCCCAGAAGGACAATGGCAATTTCCTCCCATCGTGCAAGGAATGATGGGGACTGAGACGACGGGCGGAGGTGTGAAGCAGAGGCCGCCACACGGGTGGCCCAATGTGCAGGTCTCAGTAGGAGTGCATGTCCATGACGTTGGGCATGGCTCATTATTCCCAACTACACAGGGGATGGTGAACTGTGGAGGTGGTGTTGTCGAAGGCTCGTTACAGAATGCAAGTGTAGCGAAGGGTAAAATGTTCAGAAGAGATTGACGCATGATTGGCAAATTGACTAATGAGAAATGGTATTTCTTTTCTAACCGGGAAAGTGTTTTCGAATCATCAAACCATGACGCGATGCCGTTACCTGGGGAATTGTCCATTTATTTATATGCACGACGGTCTAGATAATCGCGCGGACGTGCTGCTATGCCAAACGCCGTAGTGGGCGCACGGCATCCGGATCTCGACTTACTAATTAGTATTAAAGACGGCTGAAAACCTGATCTTCCCTGGTTCGCTTATTTTCGACATCCTGGTATGTCGTGCATATGTAAGTTGGGCATCCTGCACCATACGGAGTATTAAGTCATCGATAACGAAAGATGTCCTCATAACCAATGAGCATTTTAAGATATTCCCATTCATTCAGCACTTCACGCATAATTGTTAACAAATGGCAACACCGTCTACCAATGCGGTGCAGTCTGTCTCGCCGATATTCTCTCGTATACGAAATTCGTGGCGGTTGCGGCTGGTATAGCCGGTGACCTGAACCAAGCTCAACCAGACATTTACGAATGGTCTACGCGGATATATGTTAGGGTGTGGCCAGCTAGCCACTAGGCCAAATCAAGCCGTAATAGCGTGAATATCACGATCCGTATTTTGATGGTAGGTGAGGAATTGGTCTCGCTGTTCCCCCCCCCGCCCCCCCCCAAAGCTAACGTGCAGCTGCGGCTGAAGCTGAGGTCCCTCGTGATAACACTGTCGAGTCCGACGCCGCAAAACAAGATCTCTGAATACGAGGGTAGGTAGATTGTTTAGCACAGGATGGCTGTACGCCCCGTATCCGGCAGTTGGCTTATGCCGACATGGGTGAACAAGGGAGGCTGTCGTGAAGTGTACCTAGGTAGGCAGGTATTGAGGGAGACGGCAAGCGTTATTGGCGCGAGTTAAAATCGAGTTGAAAGGCTGAATGAAGGGAATGCCTGGGAACTTGGGAAGATTATGGCATGTGGATAAGAATGCTTGTCGCAGCAGAATCATTGTCGCTTTGGCCACAAAGTAGAGATGAAGTCAATCAAATTTTAAACAAGTCCGTTCAACATCCGTTGATTGGCAGCTTGAGGCGTAAAGGCGGTCATGGAGATCAGCTATCTCTTTAGCTGCCCAATGGCTCGTGGAGACTCGCTTACCTAAGAAAATTTAGCAGAAGAGGCCCCACGAGCCATTGGGCAGCTAAAGAGATTGGCCCAATAACCCGTGGGCCCGGTCTTGACTACTGTGCGGCTTCAGGTACGCGCAGCCATTTTTTGAACTTTCAAACCAAAAGCTCGCGCCCACATTGATGGCCATGGACCTTCCTAAAGACCCTGTCTCTTTATTCCAGCTATTCTGTCCCGTATCGCTAGTTGAAGAGTGGGTTGGCTGGACCAACAGCAATGTTGCACTCCTTTTAACGAAGGAATTACCGCCAAAACCCCTTGCAAGCTGGCAGCAGACGACTGTCGCAGAAGTGTATATATGGCTCGCAATCCTAATTTATATTGGAATTCACAAGGAAAAACGCGTCTCCGACTACTGGATTACTCCTAAGCCAGGAGAGCTCAAGCTAGTACATCCAGTCACGAAATGGATGACTTATCCCCGATTCCAGCAACTTTTTCAATTCCTTCGCATCTCTCCACCGTCCGAATCCAATACCACTAGATCTGTCGAACGCACGATATCGCAGGTATCCCGATGGTCAGAGCACATACAAGCAGTCTCCTCTGATCTCTTTGTGCCAGGTAAACACATCGCCATAGATAAGTGTGTGATCCGATTTAAAGCGGGCTCAAGAAAACTTGGTCCAAAAGGCATCAAAGCTTGGGTTGTTGCACAAGAGGGCTATTTTGTGCGGTGGAAATTCGACATTCCGGACTCAAGGCCTCGAAAACAAGGTATTCTAGCCAGAACGCAAACCAACAAGCATCGATTGGCAAAGACACAAGCCGCGGTATTAGACCTAATATTGCAACTTCCAATTACCAGCTATCGGGTCTTTTTTGACGATCTCTTTACAACGCCACAGTTGCTACGCGCCTTACGAGATCACGGTGTTGTATCCACGGGCGCGGCTCGTCTAAATGGTGGCATTGATCCTCCTTTCGCTCTGGTTAAAAGCCAAGATAGCAGGGGTCAAGTACAGTGGAAGATCGATGGGCCACGAGCAGATGATCAGGTAATCTATCTAGGTATCTCACCTAGTATTGCCCATATTAATTTATTCGTTTACAGGCAAACCCGGCTGCTTGGAAGGATAATGCTCTGGTGTTATTTCTCAACTCTTTTCTTGATGGCAGCAACACTCAGGAAACTCAGCGACGCCGATCAAGTTCAACGAAGGCAAGAGCACAACAAGAACCGGGGCTTTTTGGTACTGCCTCAGAGATGGTCATGCAGATGCCTTCCATTGCTGTTTGCTACAACGAACGCATGAATGCCGTGGACAGAGGCGATCAATTACGACTTCATCTCGGCTACAAACACTCAGTTCACCACGACTCTGGGCAGGCTATAGCTTGGACGTTTATTTTTGATACAGTCCTTGTAAACACATATATCTTACAACAGAAAAAGGAGTATAATTGGAAATCATACAAGGAGCAGACCAGCTGGCGAGAGGCAATCGCAGTCGGCCTAATTAAGCAGTTTAATTCAGACGGAGCCACGCGGAGGAGATTTTCTACCGGAGACGAATTCACGCCCTTTGCAGAACATCATCACGTCAAAAGCACTAAATACAGTTCATGCGTTGGTTGTCAGCGCCGGCAAGTTGGTGTAATACCGACAAGAAACTCAGCAAGAGCCCCTCCCGGCGAGGTATATCAGAGTAGCTCAAAGACGCGGGCTAGGCAGACGAATTACAGGTGCGATAAGTGCAATGTGGCCCTTTGTACCCATCAGGATTGTTGGTATTTCTATCATCTACCAATATGTACGTAGGTCCTAGGTATATTAGACCCAGCGTTATCTACTAAGTTAGCTCAATGTCTCTGTTGTTACAACTCCGCAAGTGATCAGGCAACGCCGGAGGGCGCCATTGTCAAGAGTACAGAAAGCGGGGACTGGAGATGTTCTCTACAACGTGATCTGCACATCACCAAGAATAGTGGATTGTGTTGGACAGATTCACATATTCGATGATGTGAGTATCTCCTCATGCGAAATGTAGGGTACTCGAAAGGTGCTGGGATTAAGAGAGTACTCATGCCATAATAGTTTAAATTAGTGTCAAATGGAAGCTCATTGTCACATGAAAACCTGGAAACGACACATCCTCAACATCGAGTCGTATATTGCGACAGGATATACTGCGTCAGCAGAGGCGCGCTGTACTGCAAGCTGCTGGACCAGACGGGGTCCAGATGTTAACATTGGTTGCTACAACAGCTCAGGCCACTGCCAAGTAATGACGTCTTAGGTACTCATTACCACACTTGGAAGCAACTCTGTTCATTTCAGTCTTCTATGTCTTCCCAAATTCGATGTGATCATGTACTATAATCTAGGCCAGGTTGCAGAGCAGGGCAGAGCGCACAGAGCCAAGAAGGAACGGATTCGTGAATTTCCAAGGAATCCTTTTCATTGCGATAGGTAACGCGTTTGACTCGTTCTAGGTCGAAGTTGAAGTCTTTCATCATTCCTTCTGGTGTTGCTTGTTTGACTTTGCATTGAGCCGCTTCAGCCGTCCAAGTTTCCGTTTGCGACATTTTGTCATTTCGGGTATTTATTAGCTAGTCTATATTTCGAGAGATAAGTACAGATAGGACTGAAGAATCAGCACCATAGAAGAACCCGCAATGGTCCTTGGTGCCCAAACCTGATTCATCCACCACTTCTCTTGTTGGCCGTAGTGAGTCATCGGAAGCGTAATTTCTTGCAGGTCTGAGCTATTAGCACCAAAGAGAAAGGGAGGGAAAAACGCCGGAATGGAGTTTTTCACAGGTCCCTTTAAAGAAACTTTAGAGAATCATGTCGATAGATGTGGTGATACAAAGGACTTTGCCACAATAGGACTTGTACCAACACTCGAAACCCGGGCCTAACATGTTTCTGCAGGACATCGTCCGACTGACCATCCAAGAGTTGGAGCCTTACAAGGCCAAATTCCCTTCATCCCGGGTCAGAACAACTTGAATGCTCATTTTGATTCGTCAAGATAGAGTGTGCAGAAACTTGGTTACATCAACGCTTGCACAGGCCCTGTTTGTTGATTTGCGCGTACAGCAAGGAGCCTAGTAGGCTGAAGGCTGCTCGCTTTCAAATCCGCAGCCCGCATGACTTCTCACCGCAGATGTCACAATGCTCAAGATCTCTTAGAGTGACCTGATCCCCACTCCCTATGCCTCTATGCAATTTCATACCTGACCTCTCGATATACCTCACCCGAGCTCAACCATCCATCAACCAGTCTCTCGACATTCGCCCACGAAACTAGTAACGTGACCTCGCCGAAATAATTCACACCTCCAACCTGTTTAAAACCCATATTCTCGAATAATCTTCTACTGCCAATGTTTCCTTCTTGAATCTTGACCATGAGCTCCGCCAGGTCAACTTGTCCAAGTTTAAGACTACATGTATACTCCTTCAGTATGTGTTTCATATTTTCGCGCAAATAAATCAGTAAGGCTTGTACTGAGGCACTTCCAAATCCTTGCCTTCGATGTTCTGTGTTTGCAATCATGACATCGATTTCCCCTCTCAAGGCGGCATTGGCCTTTCGGTTTGGTGAGGTTTCTTCAGGATCATCATCTTGGTAAATAAAGAAATTGATGTCTCCAATCATGCGGTCATCTGCATCCACCGCTTTCGCCTTGATTGATGGCGATGCTCGGTCTGCCGTGGGCAGTGCTTCACATATTATGAATGTGAGTTTTTCGTGGGCGGCTCGCCAGGATTGCTGGTTCTCGTATTCCTCTTCTAAAGTCAGTAGTTCAGAAGCTGTCGCTTCTCGAATTGCCTGGAACTCAAGTCAGATTGCGATGCGCATTGCAGCTGTTGGCTTGGCTAAGAGAAGTACCGGATCTTCCATCCATTCGTGGTATTTCCCGACATGATGAGCTTCATACGGGACCAGCAGCACTTTATTGGTACTGATGCCTAGGTCAGGTTAATTCTACACCGTGAGCTCATCACCATGGTCGACTTGCCTGTGGCTTGATTGACTCTCATGCTTGTAATTGACGCTGTCGGCCGGAAATGCAAGGCTATAGCCGTAGCGGGACAATTTTTTGGGAATCAGAATTTGTCAGTGTGGGCAACTTTTTGGGCCAGGTCAACGTCCACAATGGGACCACAGTACGTTACCACAAGGGTGTCGCCCATTTCGCGTTATTGAAAGAAAATGAGTGGTATTCTATTTGTTACAAGATGAAGGGTGCTAATTACATTTGGTTTTACATATATTACATGTTATACAAGTAACTGGACACGCGTCTAACTGGACACGACGCGGATCACAGCCGGCTTGTCTTTTTAGCCGTCTTTGACCTCGCAGCATGCATTTCGGCCAACATTTTGGCCACAGCCTCTTCTCCCATGCGGGCTTCCATAGCTAGAAGCTCCGCAACTTGATTCATTTTATTCTTTGTTTTGTCATGCAGTGCCGAGCTCAGTTGTTCCATGATCTCAGCATCTGAGTCATTCGCGTTCGGTGTTGGGGGGAAAATTGTGTCCCATTTCTTCAATCTAGCTGCTGAGTCTCCCGTCTGAGCTTCGGTGCCGTATTCCGGGTCCTTGCCCTTAGAAGCAAACTCAAGAGTGCGTCGATCTTCCCTAACTCCAAGTTCATTCAGCAGCAAGGATGCCTTGGTAGGCATGATTGGTTGCAGCAGGATGCCAGCGATACGTAAGGCCTCCGCGCAATTGTAGATAACCAAATTAAGCAGTATACGGGATTGTGGATTCGGGTTCTTGACGAGATTCCATGGTTCCGTATCCGAAACGTAGCGATTGGTCTGCAACTTGTCAGTGCTGTTTAAGCAATCTCATCAAACAGGTGAAGCCTACCTCACGAAGAAGATTGAAAACTTCACGAATAGCGCCTCCAGTGTTGTACTTTTCCATCTCCTCGTAATATGCGGAAGGAATCTTCTCCAAATGATCGTCCAGGCTAACAAAGGGCTGCTGCGAAGTGTGATCAGGAATTTCCTCAAAGGCACCCTGGCGGAATGCTGTGACCGCCTCGAGAGTCGACCATTTTGAAGTAACCTTTGGTCGGGCAATTCGGTAAAGAAGATTACCAATATTCGCCTGCAGCTCTTTGGCGTAAACTGACCCAATCAGCTGATTTGAGTAACTCATATCCTTGGTAAAGCTTCCGTTTCGCATGAGAAAGTATCGCAAAGGATCAATATCCCAACGTTGCACAGCAAAAAAGGGGTTGACCACATTGCCAAGTGATTTAGACATTTTCCGATTGGACATGGTCCAGTGATTATGGCAGAGTAACTGCTTGGGAAGAGGTAAATTTAGGGCCATGAGGAGAGCTGGCCAGTATATGGCATGGAATCGCAGAATATCCTTTCCAATAATTTGCAAATCCGCGGGCCAGAGTCCCATGTTATCCGATGAAGAATGCCATTTCCTGCCGTAGCCTGCCTGAGTAATGTAATTGATCAACGCATCAACCCAAACATATATCGTCTGGCTACGGTCCTCAGGATCCGGGATGCCCCAACTTAACCGAGCCGCAGGCCTCGTGATCGACAAATCCTCCAAGTGATTTTCAACCCAGTTGCGAACCTCGTTCATCCGATGTGCTGGAGTTATCCAATTGGGATTCTCGTCATAGAATTTTAAAAGAGCATCCTTATACTTTGTCAATGGAAAAAACCAGGTTTCTTCCTTGACCCATTCCACCTCGCTTCCTGTTTCGTCACTAACCATAATCTTCTTTCCTGTCTGGGGTACAATGTCTGGCCGCACTAAATCTTCTGGATAGAAGCATTCGTCGCTCACAGCATACCATCCTTCATGTGTTCCTTTGTAGAGTCCCAAATGTTCCGGCAGAGTGTGTTTTAGCTGCAGCAAAAACTCACTGACGGCTTCCTTGTGCTCCAAGTCCGTTGTTCGAATGAAAGCATCGTGGGAAATATCACCAGCAGCGGCCAGCTCTCGAAACTTGTTCGAGTAGTTGTCGCAAAATTCTTTGGGTGCTATTCCCTCTTTGGCGGCCGCTCGTTGGATCTTCATACCGTGCTCGTCAGTTCCTGTAAGGAAAAAGGTTTCCTTGCCCTTGATTTGTTGCCATCGCTTCAGCACGTCCGCGAGAACCATAGTGTAAAGATGCCCAATATGGGGCGCTGAAGTCTCAAAAGTTAGACTACCAACACAAGCAATGGAAACAGTCATTCATACCGGCGTTAACATAAAAAATTGGCGTTGTGATATAATAGGACTTGTCTGTCGCAGCTGTCGGAGATCTGTCGGACG